CGAGAGGGTGCGAGGGTCTGTCCACAGGGGATCTAGGACCTGCCACAGCCGCTCTTCGGTCATGATTTCTCTCCCAGTCCTTCCCGTTCTGGCCCAGCTATGGACACCTGGGTCTCCCACCTTCTCCTAAGGAGGGCTGATGAATGCAGACTATGCAATTGCCTGCTGTGCAAGATCAGCTCTGAAGCCGCGTTGCGTTAACAAAGTCTGGGAATGGACTTTTTAGACCATGGACTTTGAAAGAGTCTGCCTGCTGGAGGAGCACTGTGGGTTGGGCTGCAAGCAGTGCGCTCAGCTCACCCTAGGTTTGGTGGGGGGGGCTTCCCCAAGCCACGGGCTGCTGAGCTACCTGGGTACGCAGAGAGGACAGAGCTGAGAAACAGAGCTGAACGTCTGCAAAACCCAGGTTTGGGCCATTGTTACTATACCCGTGTATAATAATTAATTAGCAGTTAAGCCCATTAACTACAGATGCCCAGCCGTCATCTCTGTCCCCCACACAGCAGCATGTGCAGCCCTCTGAGCCTCAGACAACACCGCTCTGCTTGTCCTGGGTGTGAAATGGTACCCATTGGAGAGGAGGGAGCTCAGGAGAACCATGAGTGGGAAGGTGATCCAGGACACAGAGACAGATTTGAAAATCAAACTTCTCTCAAACCTCAAGGTCTGCAAGCTTACAGGAAAGGAACAGGAAATATTTCTGAAAATTAATTGCCAAGATGCAAGGTGGCATTGCCATATCTAGAGAGATGCTGGTTCTGCTCCAACAAGTGGGATAGCACAGCTTGTAAGGAGGGTCCATTCAGGGTAATCATTGCTCTCTGATGGAGACGCCTTGTCTTGATGGGACTGAAAGCCAGTGATAGTGCTGCTATCGTGTTACCTTGCTTGTTATAGACATGTCCAGAGGAATTATTCCTGTGGCAGCAGGGAGGGAGCTCAGGGAAGAAGCAAGACGTTATAGAGAAATTGGTTGTTGAGTGGAAAGGTGAGAAGGATCCTCCCTGCTTGGCCAGGACGGCAAGCAAAAAGAGTGAAACAGCTCAATGTGGATGTCACCAACCTCTCCCTACTGACTGTGGAGATGTGGTCTTCATCGCCCCATCCCAGCCTTAAGCTGCCCTTCACACCCACCTCCCTCTGTCCAGGCTGGGAGCACCCTGGCCCGTTTTGGCGACCTCAAGTCCCCAAAGCCACACAGCAGCCCTGACCCTGCCCAGGGCGCTGTCCCGTGGCAGTGGGCATGGCTCACTGGAGGTCTTCTCTCAGGGCTTCCAGTGAGGAATATTTGATCATTCAGGTCCACTGCATCTCCGTTGTTTGAACTCCTGCACCCTGCCCACCCCTGTGCCAGGGAAAGTGTGTTTAAACCAACAGAGCCACACAGCGCCCAGCTCTCGAGAAGCATGGGGACAAGGTGGCATTGCCTCTCCTGGAACAAGCTCCTCCGGGCTCAAGTTTTAAAATGCAAACAGATAAACCTCATCCAGCACTTTGTGTGGGCAGAGAGCACATGCAACTGGTGAAAAACCCCACCCAAGCTATTCTGGGGCTTGGATTTACATAGCATTCAGTCCTTGGATGTCTGGAGCTCCCTCCCTCCTTTTTTCAAAGCCTGCTGAGAAAGAACCAGGGTCCTGGGGGCTGCTTTCTCCTAGGCTGGGGTAAACCTCTCTGCCCAGCCCTTGAAAAGACCCCACAGCTTTTGCATGACTCTAGTTTAAACAATAACACATTTTAAAAGAACAAGCATAAATCCTGCCAGAGCTCTGTTACAACCCATTTGCGACATTGATGCATTTTGAAAACGCTTTTGCATTGTGGTATCCCTTCCCACAGCACCCTTGGAAACCTGCCGGGAGCAGCCAGCGCTGCCAATCCTCGAGTCAGTGGCTGCCAGCAGCTGGAAACCCCCAACCAAAAACGTGGCGTGGTCCCCTCCACCAAACGGGAGGAGAGGGTGTGTGGGGCAGGCTGTCCGTCTGTCCATCCCACCCTGGCACACTGCTCTATGCATGCGATACCGTGAGCTGAAGCACTTCATACCTCTGCTCTGGGGAAAGCGGGAGACGCCTGAAGGAGAAGGGTGTTAAGGATCACCCCAGGTTTCCCCTCCTGGCATGCAGGGTGGCAGCAGCCCTGTGCCGTGGGAAGCGGCCCAGCTCCCTCTCCGCTTGCCGGAGCCTGCAGGCAGGTTTGGATTTGACCTCAGATTGCTGGGCTGCAGCAGGGAAAACACCAGATTTTGTCCTCAGGGAGCTGAGAACAGAGGGGAAAATCCCTTTTCCTACAGCGCTCCAAGAAGAAGTCTGAACATCTCAGACAAAACCAGTCCCTGTGCCTGTTTCCACACTTGTAGGAGAAAGATCATGCACTTCCCTGGGGGTGTTGAGAGCAGCCCCAAACCACACCCCCCAACCACAGACCTGAAATAAGAGACTTTCCAATAACAAAAAATATTGTATTAGGACAGTGATTGGAAGTGTCCCACCACCGCAGAGCTTGTTTTGCTCTCCTCTTGTGCCCCAGAGCCAGCAGACACCACCGCATCCTCACAGAGAACACGAGTCCTGGGGGCAAATCAGACCAAGGGATGACCTGTGCTGACATTAGCTGGGATCCTGCTCTGGGCCGGTGTGTGGGATTCAGTCCAGCCTGTTTTTCTCCAGGACGAGGGTCTCCACCTCCTTCATGAACCGGAGGCACAGCTCCTCCTGCCACGGCAAGGCCACGCACTGTACGGCCACGGGCATCCCCGCGCTGCCACGAAAAGCCTGAGGCACAAACAGAGGGAGGCAGGGCAGGGGGATGACCAGGGGAAGAGATGGGGATGCTTACTCCCCTGGGTAACCTGGTGCCACTCACCTTTGCCAGTGTCCGGTCCCACCAGTCCCGAAAGTACCCCTGGTAACCCTTCAGCTCCTCTTCATCCTCGTCTGTCACCAGTGTGACGGGGACCACGCCAACGGGGAAGTCCAAGGCATTGTAGAGCATGGTGTAGCTGACTGCCACTGGGGGACAGATGGAGCTTGCAGCACCAACCCGCATCAGGGAAAGCCTTCGCCTCCCTCCGTATACGTGAGCATCCAGCTAATGGGGCATTTGCACCGGGAATTCGAGGGCTGTGGGATGGAAATCTGCCCCTTGGCTCACACATGCACTGGGGGCGTTGTCCTGGGTGTACCCTATCGGCTGGGGTGCAGCTGCCCCAAGAGCTGAGCTATTCCCATCACTGGCCAGTGCCTTGGGGATGTGAGGAGAAGAGGAGGTGGAGGGGAGGAAGCTTCCCGTTGGTGCTGGTGGAGTGCTGCAGCACGGACACGCTGGAGGCAGAGGTCCCCCGTTGGCAGTCCTACCTGAGAGCTTCCCAGGGTAGCCGATGCCGAGAGCTGGGCCCAGCATGGGACACAGCATGACGTCCAGATTCAGCTTTTTCCACTGGGCGATGAACTGGTGGCAAAAATCCTGAGGAGGAAACGCACCGGTGGTCAGTGGGATGGCACTGTCCCACGGCTGCTGGCTGAGGCTCTCCTCAGCGCTCAGCCGGCTCTTGGCCGTTCCCCAGGAGCAGCCATCAGGCCACATCAGGCCTGGTCCTGCTACGATCCAGCTGCTTGGCCAACAGCCCTCCCAGTGTACAAAGCACCTCCCTCCCACTAAAACTGTAGGTAGGGAAATAGTGAGAGTGGGGGCACATGGCAACTGGGACACAGGCATGGGTCTTCAGGAACCCACAACAGAAATGAAGGCAAGCCTGCTGCAGCTGATGGCCTGCATTTACAAGTGCAGGAGTGAAAAGTTCAAGTCTAATTCAGGACAATGAACATATCTATGCATCATCCTAATCTTTAAATGTGCTGAGACCTTGCATATCCAAGTGAGGTATGTTGAGGAGTGATCTATGTTCTTCCCTCCCATCACCAGTGACTTGATCATCTCCTAACCTTGATGGGTACTGAATCTTCCTTTTCCCAAAGAGAAATAAAACAAAAAATATCTAGCCCCAAATTACAGTACCTTACCTCAATTTCATTATGCAGACTCCAGACTTCATCCACTGTGCTGAAAAAGGAAACAAAGCTAATGAAAGGCATCAAAAGGTGCTGCAGAGAGCAGCTTTAGGGGCAGAGAAGAGCATCAAAAAGCAGACGGGCACAGGTTAGCTCTGCTCCTGCAGCTGCAGCCAGGGGAATAGAGGATTTTGGCAAAGCCCCTCTCTGCTACGGGATTTCAGTCCTTTCTCACTACTAACTGCCCAACACTGACATCGCAGCAAGGAAGAGGAAGCCTCCTTCCCTGTGCATTTACCTTCCTTCTGTCTTATGGGGTCCCTACCTCATGGCATGATGGATGCATTAACCAGTGCTGATGCTGATACTGTATTTCATTCCCACCAGCTTCATCCAGTTCCTACACAAAAGGCTGTGAGCTCCTGTCCTCTCTCCCATCCTCAGTGCTAGCACAGTTCGCCAAACCCTGCAGGGTTGTGGTGTTGACATAAACTGCTCTCAGTTTGCTCCCACCTTTGTGTTTTCTGGCTCGTATTCTCAGATGCACGCAGCTGGGGCAGTATCGCTAATATAGCAAACATTGCTGCTCTCCAAAGGAGAAACCCAAATATTCATGCATTTGCTTTGGCTCAGATTTACTCACTTTGCTCTCATACTTCTTATGATAGCCGAAAATCGAGGCACCTGAGAGGGAGAAAAGAAAAAAAAATTTAAAAATAAAATAATTAATCCCAGCCCTGTCCTCTGAGACAGCTCCATCACAAACACAAGCTGTTGACTCAATGCTCAGACAGGACTCATGGATTTTCTTTAATGTGGGGAGAGCAGGAACAGAAACAGTATCGCTCGTTTGGAGATGTGTCTGAGCATATACAGGGAGCAACACTTAGAGACTTCTCTGTGATGAAGCCTTACTGCAGTGCGAGACAAGTTATTCACCGTCCATTGCTTAATGTTTATGCTAGAAAGAAATAGACCTTACGAAGGGTTTGGCAATCCAGGAGAGGAAAATTTTCAGCCAGTTTGGTGACTTTGCCAACCAGAAGAACAGGCCCATGCTGCTTTTCTCCAGCTCCCCTTTGCTGAAAGAGAAAAGGGGGTTTAGCTAAGCAGCATTAGGAAGCAATCACAGCACATCAGCTTCCACAAGGCCAACCCTTCTGAACAGCAGAACTAAACGACAAAAAACGTTTGCTCCATTCCTCTGGGCTCCTCCAATTCTCACAGTATTTACAGGATATCAACACCTGGTTTCCTTTCATCCCTCAAGGCTGGTAACAATCTCAAAGAGACCCAAGGCTCAGCTGCATTGCTTGATGGTAAAGTCCCCAGTAAATCCCAGTACATATCAGCCACTATCTACACCCAGTAGATCTGCTACCTGTCTCTGAATGCTAGCAAGATCCTAGGGAGGATGTTCATAGAAAGACACCGATCACACCAAACCGTTCCAGGTTATGCTTACAATTTCTTGACAAAGGAGGCGCCCCCATCTGTGAACAATCCCCGGACGCAGAAGTTAAAGATTGCGTAGTCCACATTCATAAGTTCAAAGGGCACCAGCTGGAAGGGCAAGGGAAGAGGAGTCAGTGGCACAGGCACAAGCAACCTGTGTGGGAGAAGCCATTGAGGGCTCATGATGGGCCAAGCTGTGCTGAGGTTTTCCTGCACAGTCCTCAGGAAAGCCTCTAGCATCCGAGGCCACAAGGTCCTCCCCATCCCACCCATCCTTCCCTGAAAAAGCTGTTTTCCCTTTGAGCAATAACTGATGAGTCAAAAGGTCCCTCCAAAACTAGCAGTGGGTGACAAGGGGCATGGGTCTGTGCTTCCCACTTCCTTTCTGATCCCTGTGCAAGGGTAAGGGGGAGCTGTGCAGCCACAACCATGTCTCACACACAGGACATGACTTGCTGAAACAGCAGTTGGTAGGAAGGAGACCACCTCTGCTTAGAAATCCGAGACCCTAGAAATGGGTCTAGGTCAATATGGGACTGCTTGGCTATAAAATATCTGCCATCTGCAACTGCCCTTTTATTTTCTCCTTAGGTCCTCATTTCCAGATACAAAACCAGGAGATGGCTTTCCATGCAACATGAGGTAGATCTGTGAAACTGCTGCCCAAAGGATATGACGCAGAAGAGGCGAGACTGACTGGAAAACAGACTAAACAAGGATAGAGATGGTTCACCAGGGCCAGGAAACGTGCTGAGCCGACATTAATCATACACCACCAGGACTGCAAGCTCCCTGGGGACACTGCCTCAGCACCCATGTCATACAGCACTGAGCACAATGTAGATCTCAGCCAGGATGTGAGGAAATGCACCCACACTACAGACAAGTCATGCAGCAGCGTGTCTACTCCCCAGCATGAGTTACGGATTGGGATGGACTCCCTTTTGTGTTCACCAGCACCTAAAGAGTGCTGACATCCTGCTGACAGGGAAAAACAAGTTGCAATATAAAGAATTTCTCTTCTCCAGAAGCAGCTGTCTGCTTTCACCAAAGCTGTGGGAAGCTCAGTGGATTCCAGGCCCTCTTTTCCTTGCCAAATTTGCTTGATGTCCAAACATGGCTCCCAAAGACATGGTAGGAAGGAAGAATTGATGCAGCACGGTGGCTGGGTTCATGCAACATCCTACCGTGTGGCCAGCATCCTCCAGCAGCTGCTTCGTCTCCCGAACAGCACGCCTCATGGTGGGGCTTGGCATGGTGAAGAAATCTGTTTCATAGTAGCCTATGCGGAGGGGCTGCGTGCTGGAGTACACCTGCAGAGCAAAGGAGAGCGCCAACTGGAAGGGCATCAGAGGCATCAGGAGCCAACAACATCCCCACGCTGCAGGGCAAGTCTGTCACCCACGTGCCCACCCACAGCGCATGACAGGTTGGTACAGGTCCTGGAGGGCTCCCATGAGCTGCTGGCATTTCCAACCTGAGTGATGGCAGCTTTTCTCAGAGACCCTTGCCCCCTTTGAGGTCCTTTACCTCTTCATTGAAGGGAAGGGGGGGCACCGTGCTGTCCAGGTTGAACATGTCCTCACACAGCAGCGCCCGCATGCCCAGTGCCAGGCTCTCCACATCTTTTGCCATTGGCCCTACTGCTGCGACAACTGGAAGAGACCAGAAGAGAGCATTCATGACTGGGGGTCCTTCAAGGGCACGTCTTGCAAAAGCTGGACCCCTTGACATTGTTTGGAGTTAGTCTGGTGTTGGCAACAGTTCATCTTTGAGAACTGGGCTGGTGATGCCTACAGGTGCCTTTCCACCAACAGGCCCACGGTTATGGACCCAGACATCAATATGTGCCCTGATGTCTCAATTTCATGATTTATAAAATTAAACAAAAAGCTTTGTTGACCATGACACAAAGACAACACAAGACCTTCCCTCTGACTGCTAATGCCACCTCCCATGAAGCAGTGGCAGGCATTGCAGCAGCCTGGGGGTTACAGGGTAAACTGAGGTTACACAAAGTGCTCCTCCTGGCTCATATGCATATTTCCAGTTCAGTCGTGGTGTGAGAGTGGTTCTCTCTCTGCACGTTTTGGAGAAGGTCCTACATAACCAGCTGAGGGTCCTTCTCACCCCTGTCCTATTGCCCTCCCTTAGGGGACAACCATCAATTCCTACCTGCCTTCTGCCCAAGGACACCAGCCATGATTCCTCTTTTACTGCGAAGAGACAGACAAAATACAGCAGCTGAGCAGTATTCACAGAAGAGAAAGGCTTCAAGCAGTAGCAAGTGGTGATGAAAACCCTGCCCTCTCTTTGCAAATGCAGAGCTTGGCAGAAGGAAGGGTCGAGAGGAAGTCCGAGAGAGACCCGGCTTAGGCCAGAATGATTTAACGTCAGTCAGGAACAAGCACCCCATTAGAGTGCAGATGGGGAGGTTTCTCTGTCTCCATTCTAGGGGAACCAATGCTTCCCTCCATACAGGCCCCAGAAAATGCCCAGGCAAGAAGGAGAAATGAGCCCTTCCCAGTTCCTCCCAGGTTCCCCCTTGCCCACAGCAGCAGTGATTGGTAGGGGGGGCCTCACCCAGAGACATCACTGCATTTCTCGCAGTACCTGAGTCTGTTCCCGGTGGGTTTGAGTGCACAGATCCCACAGAAGGCAGCAGGGAAACGCAGGCTTCCTCCTACATCTGTCCCAAATCCCAAGATGGACCCACCTCCTCCAACAAGTGCCCCTTCTCCACCAGAGGAGCCTCCAGGGCTTCTGGTGTAGAGCAGAGGGTTGAACGTCTGACCAAAGAGTAAGTTCTTGCAGTCATAGCTAAAGAGAGAGAGATTGCAGACGAGAGGAATGTAGGAATCTGCTGGTGTGGACTCCAATCACTACAAAAAGACCTTCAGAAGGTAAATAGGTAATTCACTAGTTGTTGCATTGACATCGCTTGGTCTGAGGGAGCTTCCTAAAGCTCCCATGAAGACCACCAGCCTTTGTATGGTTGTCCCAGGGGAAAAAAAAAAAGTTACTTTAAAGCACCCAGCACAGGAAAGAAGGGCAGTGATTTCTTTCCTCTTCTCCTCTTTTGTTTCTTTATTAAATTTGGAACTAGAATTAATTTTCATCCTGAGCATAAATGTGTTCACTTTTAAAAGTCAAACTTAAAGACAGGGTGCAGGTGTTGTTATTTAAAAAGAAGTGGGAAACGATAATTAGACTTGATAGAAGCCCCCAGTTGAGATGAGAGAGAGAAGGGAGTGCCCACCTACCTGATGAGGGACTGGGGAATGTTGGTTTTGACAAATGGAATTGCCCCTTGTCTCCTGAGCACCTGCACCACCACGCTGTCCTCTGCTGCAGGTTTATTGAGGTTTTTTATAAAGCCCAATGTGGAATCATGGCCCTAGGAAGACAGAACAATGCTTCCAAATGGAGGACTGCAATTGCCCCTGCCCCTATATTTTAATCTATATATATAAGCACATGCATGCACCTCCAACAACCCATCCATCACACACATGTTGTGTAGCGCATTGGTAGTAAATCTGACCAGCTCTCTGTTGGCTCCTAAGGGAGATAGACAGCAAGCCCCATCACCTGCCAGGGCAGGCCATCCCACATCAGCTATGACAAAGTCCAGCCAGATTCTCAGAGGTCAAACCACCCCCCCAACACCAAACTTCAAACTCCAGGGATCTCGGGATATACGTGGTGGTACCTGGCAGTCGATGGAGTCTTTGATGCTGACTGGCACTCCATAGAGCAAACCTGGCTTCTCCGTCAGCTTCATTTTTCGCATCTGGGTCTCGCTTTCCTCCAGATACTCTGTGATGCAGTTGGTTTCTATGGCGAGTTGGAGGGCCTTGGGGAAAGCAGGCAAAGCCCACAGGTGAGACACAGCTCGCAGTGCTCCACAGCAGCCTTCTTTCTGTTTTGTAAAGGACACCTGCCTATTCCCCATTTTCCACCTTCCCATCTGGGCAGTCAGTATTAGGGTAGCCCTTTCTGTTCCTTTCCAAGACGTTTTTATGCCAAACTCCAAAATCGTGTCTGGACACAGGAGGACCATAGCACCAGCTGATGGCCCAGCAGAATACCAAGGCCTATTCTCTTGATTGAGCTTCTGGGGTGGCATAAAATGATAACCCCAAAGCGGGATCCCAGGAGGCAATTAGAGCATTATGGCAAAATTAGATATAGAAAGTGGACACCGAGTCTTTGAGGTTTACCAGCCTCCATTCGGAGATGGAGGGAAGACAACAGCAGCAGTCCACAACTTTATAGATAAACCTGGCTCTGGGAAGGTTTAAGCTCCCCTAGGAAGGTACAGGCTCTTCTTTGTTCCAAACAAAGCCAAAAGCCATGGCAGCCAGTGACAAAGCCCTCCCTTTGCTCACAGAAATGCATGGCAGGGCCCAGCACTAACCAAGGAGTGGTGACAGCTCAGCAGCATTTAAACCAGGTTTAAACCAGCATTTGAACCTTGTGCTGGGCTTCTCTCAAGAGAGCCAGCCCCACCGCAGGGGAGACACTGCCCCACTGCCCTTGCTCCTCACCTTGCCCACATAGGCATAGAAGACGTGCTCTGGAGAGAGGGATCCATCCCGCAGTTTCCTGGAGAGTTCCGGCAAAGGCAGAGAGAGGATGGAGGCCACTCTGACGGAAGGATGCTACAAGAAAGGTTGAACAGGCAATGACACACACCTCTACCTCAGCTGGTGGGCTCCTCCTCTCCTCTTGGTGCTCACTGTAACCCATCCTCAAAATATCTGCCATATGGTGGCCAAATGCAGTATCTGCATCAAGACTGCAACCCTGCTCCTACCTGAGAAATTTCCTCACCACCTACAAAATACCGTGAAAAAAAGCATCAAACCTCATCCCTGGAGCTGTAGTTTGAACCCAAGCGAGTCCACCTCACCCACAGGTCGGGCAGGCTGCGGGGACACGGCTCGGTCGAGTCGCGATTTCTGGGCACCGGGGAGTGGCATCGCGCCCCGTCCCTGAGGGCAGCGTCCCCGGGCTGCTCGGCTGCACTTCGACCCCTACTGATAACACACGACCTCTGGCCTCTCCCCGCCGCCCCCC